AGGCAATCGCACATTCTGGTCAGGTGCGAGAAAAGTGCAGCCTTCAAGTCAGAGGAACATTAAAAATGTCTCCCGGACATTCATGTAATTAAAAACATTAAAGTGAATTGTATTTATTCTTATTCTTGTTATAGTCTTGCTGGAGAGTAACACAAAAAGACAATCAAGGGTAAACATGACGAGATATTTTTTCATAATGCTACAAACATCTAAATTTAAAAACGTTCAGCTCCCTGGGTGAGTGTTTACAAAATTTTCCAACAGAAGTTCAATATTGCTTAGGAACAATTTTCAGTTTCTTTGACGTACATTTCCGTGCACCGTTTATTCATCTTCAACAAAAATCCATCATCTCTAGAAAAAAAGCTCTTCTGTTTGGTTGAGGTTTCGTCGTATTATTTTGAGGTAACGGAGGTACGATTATATTGTCATTTAAATCATTTCTTTGTAAATTTCATTGTCTACTTCAAACCAACCAATCCTTATTACTGTTTATGATCTTGAAATGTGCGTGAGACTAAAGCGCGTATGATAACTCCAATAAATAATTTTAAGTGAGAAATATTTCAGTGATATACATTTGAAGACTAATCAGACAAAACTGCTAGTAACGGAAACTTCTATCAAGTTGCCACTCACAAAATGAGGTATTCGAAGGAGAAAAAAACAGGGTTCATGGATATCACCTAATCATAACAATGGTCCAATTAAAATGATTCAATTCAGTTCGAACTCTTTCCGAGAAGTATTTTCCATTCCTGGGATCATTTTTGGGAAAATTACACAAGTGGCTTGCGGGCGAAAAGAAAATGCGACCTTTACAATTGAAGTGGTATGTTACAGTCTCGCAGAAAGTTTGAGTGAAATTAACGCAGGCATTTTCATTACTGCACTTGTTCCTATTCATCATGGCTGAGAGTGTAACAACAAAGCCTAAAACTGTACACTGGAAATAGAATTAAAGGTAGACTCCTGGGTTCAATCACTCACAAGAGAATTGACAAATTGTTAATGCCACAAGGTTATTGTTTCGAAAATGAAAATTTGGAACAATGTCGAAAAGCAGCAAGAAATGTACCATAAATGAGACACAAAGGAATTATATAAATGTAACACAGATCCGGCAACCCTAATATTTAATCCTAACACCTTGTGTGGTTTTTCTCCTCGAACCAGATACTGCGGAAATGCCATTGAAGATCTTTGTGATGGGTTTCCTTATATCATGTATTCCTGAAATCAAAGGAGGTAACAGTATTTGGTGTTTTATTCTGTTGTACCATGATGTTCGTTTGTGGAACGAATTCGTCTCAGTTACGTTAAACCGACCTAAAATAGTTTTGATAGCGAGTAAGAACAAAGGAAAGTTTCAAAAATAGCCAGTGATAGCTGCAGGACTCAAAGTAAAACAAGACTGAAAACTTCCGGAAGCGAAGGAAAACACGAATTTTACATTACATTTGTTAAGGGGGTGCACCGAGTTTTCTTGACTGATGGCACAGCAAAAAGTAAAACAATTGATACAATCCCCGTTTATTCAAATTGTCAATTGAAAAGCTTTCAGGTTTGGTGGACTGAAGGGGGACTGAACTAGCAAAGGTCATGTGATATTCCTTGCACTGTCTTACTTTGAAAAGGAACAGCTGTGAGATCATTTAAATCAGGATATGTTTTGCAACTGAACTTGAAAGTACTTTCTCTGTACGTAGGAAAGGACCCTTGTTCGTCATATACAAAGCTAGCCGAATCGGACAGAGAAAAGACATTTACCCAAGATGAGGGAAAAAGTGATGCGGCGGATTTAAAGCCTAACAAATGGTACCGTTTTATCGATGATGCAGGATTCAAATTGGCAAACAGGTAAATCTCCCATCCTTTGCTTGAACAGAACGGCGTTAGTATCAAGGTGACTGAGGGGTTGCCGTACCAGACTCCGGAATTCATTCCATGCTTGGGTCATGGGTGTCGTGCTCTTCGATGAAACAATCTTCCCACGATACCTTTCCTAAACCACTGAGGACAACAAATTGGTGCCGGAAAATTGTCATGGAGCCCTGACGAAATACTTAGGAGCGAATGTTACCAACGGTCAAACATTTGGTGGCAACAGCAAAAAAAAAAAACCATTCGGCTCATATTCTCAAGTTAGGTAGGCCTTATGGTGAAACAAAGCACTGCATACTTCGTTTGGCTGAATATCGATTTATTTTCGAGAAAATCGATAAAAGCTGAATTTCGCCCAAATGCCGCTTTTGAAGCTCGAAATTTCAAGCAAATCTCGGAGCGTCCCGCCACGAATTGAAAACACTTGGACCGATAAAAAACTGCCAAATCTTTAAAAACAACATCAATGCATATGTTCACAGCGATTTGAGCAGTTCTCGATCGTTTATTTACACAATCTAATTGAATTTAACCGACCGTCCTTCTTCTGGCAAGATTAAGAATAAGTCAAAAGTAACCCGTTATTTAACTAGGTGCTATACAAAATAATCGACGGAAAATCTGGCTTTTGGAAGGCTGCGAAGTGTGGTTCTTTTCGATCTCCAAAGGATTTTTTGGGGAAATGATTCAGTGCGATTTAATCAAATTTCAAAGTTGGATAAAATGAGCTGATTTGACGATGCCGTCAGTTGTTCGAAAATGTTCACANTTCGTTAAACAAACACTTTTTGACTGCCTGAAAACGTCCTTTGACATTGACTGGCCCTACACGTGGACACTAAGTAGAACTTGCTTGTGCCACAAGCTATAGGTGCAGCTGACGCCACACAAACTTATATATTTTCCCGAGTAGCTTCGCTTCTCAGGCAAAAATTTGTTTTAAGAACATCAAACTTCCGCGGGGCAACTATCAGCCGATAGTTCCTAGACAGAAACACTCTATTGTTTAAATATTTCGAGAACCCTTCGAGAACGAAACTATTGATTAAAAGCTCAGATATCATTATTGTTTACAATATTATACCTCTAAGTTATAATTCTTAAGTGTTGTAGTAACCATCTTCGATTGCCAGAATGCAAAAAATATTTTCATGGAGTTTTGTCCGAAAATACATGATTTTTGACAGGCTGGTATCTCAATTCACAGCTTGACAACCATGCTAAAAAGCTCTATTGATTACTTGATCGTACATGTTGTGTCCAGGAGAGATGTTTGTCGGTCAATACTCCAAGGTACTACTCGACAAAATCCATACATTCTAATGGGCTTTGTCCTTTTTACTGTTATCGAAGATACTTATTAAAGTTTCCTATGTTACGGACGGAAGATTACAAATTAAGTTAGATTTTTTTAATATTAAGAGTCAATTTATTAGAGATTAGCTAGTCGGACAATTTTTGTAATTCAGCATTGCCTGTTTCTTTAAATTATCATAGGTTTAGTATCAGCATAAAGTACACACCAAACAAATAGAGCTTAAGTTTTGAGGAGCAATAACTGATGTCATATAGAGTAAACCTGCTTCCTCACAAAACGAGACAGTTAATCATGTTGACAATAAAACTTGTTTCTGTTTCTCTGTTAACTTTCCCTTGTTAACATTTTTACGCAGATGAGCGTATTTAAAACGTGCATCGGTCCCCAAAAGGTAACCTAACCAACGTCTCAAAAGTTCTTAAAAATTTCGCGGCGCTTGATAACGATTTTATGTCTCCTGTGTATTGAAGGGGACTGGTGGGTACACAGTTAAATAGCCAGTCAGAAGCGTGCTGCACTCGTTTTATCCCCCAAGTAGAATCGAAACAGTTTTAGTGTCTTTCTAAAATGGCGACGATCACCATCTTGGGAATCAATAACCCTTGGGAACGAACTAGCATGAAGCAATATGGCTCCCAGGAGAATTATTAAATTCATCTTCCACTAAGACAAACGACAATCAAAAGAGAACTGATTGTGTATTGAAAGCTCAAGCTGTTGGGCGATGGTTCTGTCTTAAAAAAATAATAGGCGCAGAT